AAAAAAAAAAAAAAAAAAAAAAAAAAAGGAAATCCCCTACCCTATGGTGAGGTAAAGAGGCTATTTCTGAAAGACCCTTGGCTCGAGAGTATAAGAATTATTGTGCACAAGACTACACCTAGAATAGACTAGCAGGAGTTCCAAAAGAGGAGGTACAATGGCAGTTCAATATGAGTGACATGTTGAATTACTTTAAGCTTGGCATTTTACCAAACATTTACACTAATAAATCACAACAATTATGTTTCTCAAAAACTGAACAATTATTCATCAGCACACTCAAGAAGAGAACTTCTACATCTAAACTTCATTGCATATTTATGTTCATACTAAACACATAAAATCTCTCTCTCAATATCTAAAACATATTAATGACAAACATATACAGTTAGTTCTATACATGCATATACGAACAAACCTCTTAAAAGGAGAAATCTGATTGAATCTTGGACTAAGTGTTGGAGTTGATGAGCGGGGGCAATACAATTGAAGCATTTTAGCAGTAACCTTTCACCCCTTTTCTCGTTTCAGGATTATGTAATGACCCTTTGAAGAATAACAAAGAATGAAGAGATTAAAGGCATTGTTTTCAACGAAAAAATTTCAAGATTTTATTAAAAGAAGTTGTGTGCTACGATATATTAATTGTGGAAGGTGAGAAAATTAATTTGATGCGAATTTTTGAATTAATTGGAGAGATGGGTTGAAAGTACAAATGAGTAGCGCTAATGGTGTGGAGTAGTAAAATATATATAAGTACACATCGAGGCAGAGCTTGGAAGTTAGCAGATGCTGATGTTTCAGTTGCTGTTTATTGACATGTTTGCCATTGGTACGTAATTGGATTCTAGTTTATTGTCATGGAAAAAAGAAAAAGAAAAAAAGAATGTATGGCTCTTTTAATTTTGCCTTTTTCTGGAAAAAAATCTAAAGGAGCCTTTTTTCCAACACAAGCGTTCGAATCGTGGAAAAGATATTAATACTTGAATTAGGGTACATTGTCTACATTACACCTTTTAAGTATGATCTTTTCCCGTATCCTGTGTGACTGTGGGATGCCCTTTCGCCAAAAAAAACATTTTGTTAGTTTTTTACTTCAATAGCATCATTTTCGTTCCTAAATTTTCATCCTTGTCATGATTTTTACCGCACTAATACATTTAAGGCTCATTTGGTTGATGGAGTGGAATAATTAATTCCAGCATAAAATTTTACATAAAATAATACATATGCGGTTGGTTGCATAAGAAAATAATGATCGTTGCACAACTTATGCAAAGTTTTGTTTACAATATTAAATAATATACATATAAAATTATGTGAGAATTTATGTATACTTTTATGCAGGGGCGGCCCGACGTATTTTGGGGCCTAAAGCCAAATTTTAATGAGAGGCCTTAATGTTTTTAATTTTTTTTATTATTTGAAGTCAATTTTTCTAGCTTTTTTAGATGCAAAGTTACTAATAATTTTTTTATAATCAAAAAAATAAATATCAAGAGCACCTTTTTGAGATTGTATTAGATTTTGAATTTTTCTTCTTTTCTTGAATTTTTCATAACTAGATTCATACTTTCTATTTGACATACTTATCTTCTGATAAATAATCTAAAAATACACTAAATAGCAAAATATTAAATTTTAGATGAGAAAATAATAAAAAGATAGAATGATATAACCTGGTTCAAGAACTGATAACTTGATATCAAATTAAATTTTCTGCTCGAGTATGCTTGTCGTAAGACTTGAATTATGAAAATATAACGAACAAAAAAATCTCCATTATTTCTTGAATCAATACACTACTCTCAACTCTGAAGCTCCACAATAATGCTTGATTTTTTGCTATTGCAGAATGGAGGCATGAATAATAAATCGAAGAACAAAGTATAAAAATATAATATAGTGCACACGTCTATTTTCACTTTGCTCGAGAAAGTTGTGGTCCACTATCTCAAATTTCTGTTCTCTTTTTATGCAAACTTCCCATGTATTGTTTCACTATATATATATATATTGCTTTACCCGCTTTATGGACGGGCCGCCCCTGCTTTTATGCGAAATAGAATATAAAAGAAGAATAAGTATATTTACAACACTGGGATTAAGCTATGTAAAGATAAAATACACTTCTAAAGCTAGTATCTTATGTAAAATAATCTCTTAATTATTAATTTTCACATTAATCTCATCATTATTAATTAAATATATAAATTATCCGTATATTATCATCACACATCAAATTTTTGTCACACGGATGAGAAAGGATGTAGGCTTAACCTAACCTCTCGTATGAATTGCTTAACCTAATACCTACCGAAGTCACAACTACATATTAATTATTATTATTGACATTTTGATATGGTGTGCGACCTTGTTTATATTTAATAGACTTATACGGTACTTTTTCACATTAAGCAAAAACGTATCGCCATAATAGACTGAGAGGAGCATAAGAAAAGAAAAAAAAGCAGTACATAAAATATGCTTGAATCCTCTCTTTAGCCGAGGGTCGATCGGAAACAACTCATTTGTCTTTCTAGAATAGGAGTAAGGCTGCGTACATCTTACCCTTCCCATATTCCATTAGTGGGAATTCACTATGTTTATTGTTATTGTTGTTGTTGTATAAAATATGCTTGGAAGCTTTCACTTCTAAAAGAACAACAACAACAACGACCTAGTAAAATCCCACGAAGTGGGGTGTGGGGAGGGTAGAGTGTACGCAGACCTTACCCCTGACTCGATGGGGCAGAGAGGTTGTTTCGGATAGACCATCGGCTCACAAAAACGGACATAAAACAAGAAGAGACAATTCATCAGTATCGTCAACAAAAACCATAAAGATAGTAACAACATCATAAAAACCATAAAATAGATGACATGGAATAACAATTATCAGTAATTAAGGCCCGGGGTTATGAAAAAACATAAAGGATAGTGTGGACTTAACATTAACCACAAGCCGTCTAAGATCAATCCTATCAAACCCGACTAACTCCCGATATGAAGTAGAAAAATCTCGACTATCCTCTAGCCTACAACCCTAATGCTCGACCTCCAAACCTTCCTATCAAGGGCCATGTCTTCGGAAATCTATAGTTGTGCCATGTCTTGCCTGATCACCTCCCCAATACTTCTTAAGCCGCCCTCTACCTTTTCTCGTACCCACCAAAGCCAATAGCTCACACCACCTCGCCGGAGTATCAAGGCTTCTCCTCTGCACGTAACCGAACCATTTGAGCCTCGCTACCCGCATCTTGTCATCCACAGGGGCCACGTCCACCTTCTCCCAAAAATCTATATTCTTAATCTTATCTATCCTAGTGTGCTCGCACATCCACCTCAACATCCTCATCTCTATTACCTTTATCTTCTGGATATGAGAGTTCTTAACCGGCCAACACTTTGTCCTATACAATATGGTCGATCTAACCACCGCTCTATAAAACTTACCTTTGAGTATCTGTGGCACTTTCCTGTCACACAAGACTCCAGATGCTAGCCTCCATTTTCTAAATAGCTTTTCACCCAATACTTAAATTAAAAATAATCAACGTGTATATGTGTGTGCGCGCGCGTGCGCATGTGCGCTCATAACAGTATATAATCTATGTATGCCGGTTAGGAATAATAAACAGTAAATTTAGTCAGCTATTTGTGCAAAGATCCCCTTATGAAAAGCAAAAACATTTTGAACCCAAGAATTCGAAAAATTTACCAGTTATGTCAGTCCATAAGTAAGTTAGTATAAAAATTAGTCAATTCACAAAATATTAACAATATTAGCCAATTAGATATTTGTAGCAAAAAAAAAGGTCAAAGTTTTGCTTTTTTTTGAGTGGGTGTTGTTGGAATAGATTGGATACATCTTAAAAAGTTTAATCTCAGTTTTGGAATGATTTGGTAGAGTTTTGAGGTGGTTTGAATTGAAAAGTCGAAGAAGAAGCTCAACATGAAAAAAGATGATATGTGTATCACATATGTATCATTTGTCTATCAAATATATATCATATTTGTATCAAATGTGTATCAAATGTGTATCACATGTATATCCATGTATACCTATGTGTGAGATACATGCGTGAGACATGTTTGATACATGTATCGCATAAAAAAAATTGAACTCGATTTAACTACGAATTTTGATACCAAATCAATCCAAATCGCCTCCAATCTTCCTCAAATTTTGTATATTGGCTCATTTATATTTTAATAAANATATATAGGTTTACCTGATTAATAAGAATGTTTTCCGTAGTACTGAAAGGGACAGGTACAAGTGTTAAATCCTAATGCTAAAAACATTATTCTTCTACCTAATTTCTAAATGTATCGAAGTCCTAGGTAGTAAAGAAAATTGGGATTCCTATTCGTTTTATCGGTATTCAGACCAAAAGCTTATTCACATCTTAGATCTAGAAATTGACTTATCTCCATAAAGGAGTCGAATGCAACCAAAGTTTCGTGTTCGATTTTGAATTTGAGACGTTAAAAAATGAATCGACGTCGAGTATAACCCCTAGTCTTCCAAGCTAACGATGCGGGTTCGATTCCTACTACTCGCTCTATATCTATTTATTCTACATATTTTAATCTATTTATTAAATCAAATTTAGTTAATTATTATTACTACATCATTGAATATACAATTTAAACAATTCTTTCACACCCGATTTTTTCTGAGTTTTTTTTCAAACAAAAAGTTAAAATACGAAAAAGTCAAAATAAAAAGCGTCTATTGTCTAATGGATATGACAGAGGTCTTCTAAGCTTTTGGTATAGGTTCAAATCCAATTGGACACAATTTATTACCTCTCTTTCTCTCTCTCTCTCTCTCTCTCTCT